TCTCCCCTCTCTGCTCTCTCCCTCCTTGGCTCCAGTAAAGGACACTAATGGAGGTCTCTTGATATTCCTTCTTCTCTTTCCAGATCAACTACTGAAGAAGAAGAAGGAGAAACCACAAGGATTAGCGAGTGATCGCTGTGTTTGGATGTGAAGGCCTGCTTCAGGGGACCATGCCCTGCGACAGAGATGGCTCCAATTAATCCTTTGTCATCTCACTTTTCCTTTTAAAATGTCCCAGTTTCTCTCTCATCCTTCCATTTCCCCCCTTTGTCCTCAGCCTACTTCTGTTGCTGCAAAATGAATTCAAAGGACAAAAGCTTCCCATGTCACACCCTAAAACATACCGTCCAACTACCCTGATTTGGCAAAGGCCATTCATATTACTCCTCTGCCATCCCACCTTGACAGTTGCTTTTAAAAGGTCCCGGTTTCTCCATCCTCCTCCCACTTCCCCCTGGGTCTTATTTCAATTGCTGCAAACTGGGTTCAAAAAGCGAAAGTAGTTTGCACTCAGTTAACTCAGCAGAGGAGATAAAGTAGAAGAGGGGAGAGGAGAAAGCAGAATCTTGCCTTCACCAGTAGGGCAAAGCAAAAGCAAACTGCTGCATTCCTCCTCATTAATAATTTTTGCAGTCTGGTGTTGCCTGGCCATACTTGTCCTGGATTTCATCTGTGGAATGTGGGATCCTATGCCATCCGAGACCCGGCTTCTGGTCTCAGTGGTTTTTCCTGCCCTCCTTGGGGTCAGTGCTTGACCAATTGGCCAAAGCTGACCAATGGACCACAGAAGGTGTGGTGTGTGGTGCAGAGAAACTGGTGCTTGCCAATCTCAGGGGAAGCGAAACCACAAGTCAAAGGAGTGGCACCAAGGAGTGTGGTTTCTGTACCTGTGGATACCTTAAGGTCTCTGCAACCAGGGCTGTGGCAAGGGTAGGACTTGAACACAGAGCCCGCTCCCAGTTGTCTCCCCAGTCCTCCCGGCCATCCCCATCTCTGCCTGCTCTGACGCCAGAGGAATGAGAGGCACCCACAACCCGGCTCCAGTCTGACTGGTCTCCCCACGCCTGGGAGTCACCCAGCGACACCTCCCCAACATTTTGGGAACCCGTCTGGCCGGGCCGGATTAGAGGGGAATGTGCTTGCAGTGCTGAGGCTGCTTGCGAGAGAGAGAGAGAGAGCCGTGTGGTGTGGCAAGCCCCGGCGCATGGCTCAGCCCCACCTGCCAGCCTCTTTAAAGGCAGCCCAGCGCAGGCCGTAGGGCTCAGGGAGACGGCTCCGGCTCCAGCACCAGCACCAGCACCAGCACCGGACCCATGAAGGCGGCACCTGCCCCCCTCCTGGCCCTCCTGGCCCTCCTGCTGACCATCCGTGGGCCACAGACGGCCTCCTCGGCCCCCAGCGCAGGGGGAAAAGGTGAGACCCTTTGGAGGAAGGAAGGCAGCTGGGACCCCCAGGAGGCACATTTTTTTAAATTGAGTTTTCAATTATTTCCAAACACTATGTTCAAATTACATTACATTCAGTAATTACGTACATATTTACAATTATATTTGTTGCTTCCAAAAGTTCTTCAAAAGTAAGCACGTATACAACATTTCTTTTGTCTCTCTGAATATCACTTATTTCTTGTATTGCTACTCCTGCTATAAACCTTTCCATTTCTACTTTACTGTTTTATACCTAATTGTTATTTAGACCATTTATAGTTGTACATATTTATCTTTATGTTTCTATATGTCTTCCAATTTTTACATTTTGTCTTGGTTTCTTTGCCATATTATTTCCATCTTTCCATTTCCAGGATGCACATTTGGGGCATTGCAAGGGTGAAGGATTCCTGACCTTTCTCCCCTGCAAGGGAGAAAACAACTATGCCCAAATCATTTGGGCACAGTAGTCAGCCCTCCATGTCTTGCAAATATTTATTCCTAAAAGCAAAACTTGGTTTGACCATTTTGTATAAGGGACACCATCTTACTGAACCATTGTAGTTAATGGAACTTGAGCATCCATAGATTTTGGAAACCAATGGGAGTCTTAAAATCAAATTCCAGCGGATACCAAGGGCCCATTCTGTGTGTATCTGTGTGTATGTATATGCACACACATATACACAGACTCTATCTATCTATCTATCTATCTATCTATCTATCTATCTATCTATCTAATCACTTTCTCTCTTTCACCTATCTATATCAATACATCAATATATAATGAGCCAGCATGGCATAGTTTGAGCATTGTACGATGACTCTGGGGACCAGGGTTCAATTCCCAGCTCTGCCATGAAACCCTCTGGGTGACCTTGGGTGAGTCACACTGTCTCAGCCTCAAAGGATGTCAATGGCCAACCCCCTCCGAAGAAACATGCCAAGAAAAACCAATGATGGGTTTGCCTTAGGGTTGCCATAAGTTGGAAATGACGCAACAACAACAACAACAACAAATTCTCAATATCCTGGAAAAAAAATTGAGAACTTATTATAAGCAGAAATTTTGTTTGGTGTGGGAAGCCTTTGTGCAATCCCCCCCTTTGCTCTTTTTTGCTGTTGCTTTTTAAATGCAAAAATCATGGTTGCAGGAACACTCTATCTACTGTTGTAAGAAGTAAAAGTTTCTAATTGCTTTCAAAAGTTATTTTAAATTGAATTTTCAGCAGTATTTTAACAAGAATCTTGCAAGTTCTATGCAGCTTTTATATCAAAGGTTTCCTTCTTTGACTCTGAAAAAAAAAAAGTAATGGGACTGAATTGGCAGAAAAGTGAAATAACAGAAAGTAATGGAAAAGTAATAAACTATGGGCCAAATTGCAAACAACAACAAGAAGTTAGACTTTAAAGATAAATTAATTTTTAAGCACTGGAGCTCCTCTATCACCCCCCAAATGCCTGAGATCAAGTGGGGCTTTTAGCTCAGGATGCCCCTTCCTCCAGCCAGGCTTCACCCCTGTTCTCCTCTTCGGCTGCTTCCACACGTCGGAATTAATGCACGTTGGCAACGCTTCGACTGCCATGGCTCCATGCTATGGAATCCTGGGCTTTGGGTTTGTAGTAGCACCAGAGCTCTCCGACAGAGAAAGCTAAAAATCCTACACAACTACAAATCCCTGAATTCTAGAGCATGGAGCCATGGCAGTTAAAGCAGTAATCTGGAATACTGTGGAACCTGGAATAATCCTGTGTCCAGTTCTGGGCAAAACAATTCAAAAACGATGTGGAAAAACTGGAGTATATCCAGAGGAGGACGACTAAA